GCCCTCGGCGCCGGGGGGGCGGGCGGCTGGCGGGCGTGAGGGAACCCGTATGTGCCCCCCGCCGCCGCCGGAGCCTGGTCCTTGTGTCTGTTGCTAGAAAGGCCAAAGTCGGTGAGGGGAGGTGCTGGTGGGCGAGGGGCTGCCAGCCCCCTCCCCCGTCTCCCATTTTTTTTCCTTTTTTCCTCGTATTTGTTAAAAAAATTTTTTTTCTTAATAAATTAAGTGAGGGGAGCTGCCAATGGGTGGAAGGGCTGGGCCCGACCCCCTTCCCGGCCAGAGGCGGGACCTAGGTCCAGCCCGGGCGTGTGCTGGTGGCCCCGCGGCGCCCTGCTCAGGCGGGCCCCTCCGCCCTCCGTCCCCCACCACCCCCGGCTCACGGCGCCCCGCCCTCACCAGCGTGAAGGCGTCGTAGGCCTGCGCCAGCTCCTCGGTGCGGTACTGCTCCAGCACCACCACGCCCTGCAGGCCCGCGCTGCGGCGCCGGGCGCAGCCCTCGCAGTGCACCAGGTACGTATTGCGGCTGCCGTTCTCGCTCGTCACGAACAGAATGTTGAACACCTCCACCTGGGGCGGGGAAGGAATAGGGCAGTCACAGGTAGGGCCACTGTGGGCGCCTCCGGGAGCGGGAGCACGAGCGCGGGGGCCCACTCACGTCGCACTCGTTGCAGTAGTAGGCGGGCTCGTCCTTGACCCGGCCCTGGTAAGCGATTTTCTTCCCGGCCCGCACCAGGCTCTCCCGCTGCACCTGGCAGTGCTTCATGGACTGCAGGAGGCAGAACCTGGGAAGCCGTAGGGTGTTGTTGAGGCCAGGCAAGGCTGCAAGCATGGGGAGCAGGAGGGCGAGGATGGGGCAAGGGAGGTGCACACGGACTGGGCCTCCCTCCTTCACTCCTGGGTCATGGCCCCTGTCCGTAAGCATCTGCCACAGTTAAAATTTCATGTGGTTTTGTCAATTTAGGCAACTGGAAGATAGATGTCATGAGAGCTGAGACCTGGTCAGCCTCCCAGCGCAGTAACGCTGGGGCAACTATGTCAGGCAGGGGTGCAGATCCAGGTGAAGCAAGGAGCGGTCAGGAGGAACAGTAGCGGGGGACCAGGTGTGTGTGGGGCATGGGCGCCCACCCACATAGAGTCCTCACTTGATCATTTTGAACAAGTCGGGGTCGCTGATTTTGACCGTTCGAGCGACATTCCAGGACACGTGAATCATGGGCACAATGGATTTGACGTTCTTCACCTCGTTCCACTCATATCGTTCCAGGGCCAGCTGGTATTGATAGGCTGCAGGCCAGAGGGGATGGCACACGATTTTCAAACAGCCTCCAGCTGGGGCCCAAGCCGCTTCCCTCACAGCTGGCTGCCCTCCAAGCCCATCCCCTGGGGCTCACTCCCCAGGGGCCCACCCCCTCAGACAGAGGCCCAGCACCGGGCCCCACCCTCACGGGCCCCACCCTCTCACCGGTGAGGGGCCCCACGTTCCAGGCGATGTTGTTGCACCAGCCAGTGGCCTGCACCCAGTGCACAGTCCCTGCGTTAATCCACACTAGGTCTCCGGGGCGCTGCACGAAGCGGTACACAGGGATATTGGAAGCATAGAGGTCATCCAGGATTGGCCACCAGGAACCCGTCAAGTAGTCCACACCGTGCCTGCAGGTTGGCCACAAGGTCAGGTCCCCTGGGGACCGAGGGACAAGACACGAAGGGGTGACGAGCAGGGGTGGGGGGCAGTACAAACCGGTCGCAGAAGGCGCTGATGGTTTCCCAATAGTGTTCGTGCACCGCGAACCATTCGCAGTCACCTGGGCCAATGTTAATGTTGACGGAGCAGAAGTTGTTGTTCTCCTGATGGCCTGCAGGGGGAGACAGAGAACGGCTCAGCTGGCGGGATCCGAGCCTGAGCTCCAACACAGCCCCATCCTTTGCCCTCATTGGCGGACAGCTGAGCGCTGCCGCCAGCCCCTCCTCCCACTGGCGTCCCGCACCGGCCCACAAAGGCAAGGAGCGCACCTGGCGTCCGGCTGCCGGGGACCTTCATGTACAGCTGCACCGTATTCATGCCCAGGATGGTGTGGCCCACGTGGCTCAGCATGTTGCCCGTGGATGTTACCCGCATGAAGGCGGGCAGCTTCAGCAGCTCTTGCAGCTGGGGCTTCCACCTGCGGGGACAGAGCGCAACAGCAGTGAGAGGCAAGTCTCAGCTCTGCTGGCTCAGCAGCACTCCTGCCCCGACCTCACTGCTTCAGCCCCAGCCCCACTGACCGCTTGGCATCGGACAGGTCGATGTTGGTGCCGAACTTGATGATGTGATGATTCTTCGGGTCTGGTGCACTGCTGCTGGGGCAAAGAGCACAGGTTGATGGGGGGGGAGGGCAGGGAAGGGAAGAAGTCTGAAGGGGGGGGTACACCTGTACTGTACCTAGGAGGAGTTCCTGTGGTGCTGTCTGGCTCCTCTGACTCCTCATCCTCGCTTTCCTTCTCCTCCTGCTCAGCCAGAGGGACAAGCAGGCCTGGGTCAGTGACCAGTGACCTTCTGGACCCCTCCCACCGCAGCTACTGATCCAGACCCTGGCCTCTACCTATGCTCGCCTCTCACCTGCAGGGACTCCTGGAAGGATGAGGCCTGGTACTGTGCGTACTTGGCAATGGTGGTGTGGGAGCGGGAACTCTCACAGGGCCAGATCTGGCGTGTGCCTGTCAGATCCCAGTTCTCATCTGAGGGCTGCTGCACCTGTGTGCGCACCTCCACGGTGTGCTCACCACTCGCCTCCACTAGCGTTTTGGTGGAGAAGAGGCCCAAGTCTGCAAGAGAGAGCCAAGCAAGGTGTCGGAGAAGGGGGAGAGCATGGGGACTGAGGGCTTAACTCACCCTTTCCCTTCTTATTCCCCAGGCCTCTGACAAGGACAGAGGCATAGCAGGGCTCAGCCCAGGAGGAACCAAGAAGGACCCTTAGCGCACAGAGAGCTGGCGGCTGGCCTCTGTCCTCACCAGCCCGCCCCCTCCTCCCTCTGTGCCCCAGGCCTCTGCATCTGAGCAGGGGCCTCAGGTGTGCATGTGGCCATGTCTGCACATCTGGCACACAGTACATGCTCAATGAATGGCAGCTTCTTTTAAGTTACCACTGCATCCAATTAAATAACTGGTCAAGTGAATCCCTGGAATGTGGTTCATATAACTCAATGAAAGAACAGGAGGATTATGGGTAGAAAGGAAACAAGACTGGCCTTTATATTTCTGTATGTTCCCTCTGTTTCTGTAATGTGTTTGAAATTTTGCCTCATAAAAGGTTGAGAAAGTGTGAGCCAGCTGGTGGTATGGTGGTTAAGGCAGCTGGATCCCACATGGCAGACTGCATGGTTTGAGTCCCAGATCTGGTGGCTTGAACACATCTGGGGGACCAGCAGTTAGTGTTAACGGCTATGTTGCCGAACTCCCATATAGTCGACCACGGTTTGAGTCCTGGACCCAGTGGCTTAAATTCACACCGGGCATGTGGGCGTGCGTGCCCAGGATCCCAAGAAGAGACTGGAGGAGAAGGGATTACGGCGTGACCATCCCCCCAGGGGGGTGATTTCTCGCTTTCTCTCTCTCTCTCTCTCTCTCTCTCTCTCTGTCTCTCTTTCTGGCAAGTGCATGCATCCTATAGCGAAAACCTCTCCCCCCAAAAAAGAAAAAACAAAAAACACCTAGCATGTGTGCATGCATTCCCCAAATCCCAAGAGGTGAATAGAGGAGAAGGGATCGCAGCGTGGCCATCCCGCTGGGGAACGCTTTCTCACTTTTCTCTCTCTAGCTATCTTTATCTTTGTCAAGTGCATGTGCCTTGTGGCAAATTTAAATTAAAAAAAATA